TACTGGAACTTTGGCTCCCAGAAACGGCCGCTCATGAGTAAGATTTTCCACCACGCACTTGCATGCGCTTTGCTTGTTCGCGTTCCCGTGTTTCGTCCCATGCCCGTCTCCAGTCTTAATCTCCAGCAGATCTCATTTCTCCATTCCAGTTTCCAGACAAATCTCTAGTCAGGCCTTCCCGAGACAGCTTCCCAAACTTTAGCCTTTGTAGACAATGTTCGGCACGTACACAAAACGGACAACCGGCTCCGTCATCTCGGCCATTCCCCCGCGCTCAACGCAGGACTAGACAGGCCTTGACCCTCGTCTGGCGGTTGTGAATACCCCGAGAGAGGAAGAGACCGTCGCTTGCACCTATGAAGGTTCCGCGCCGACGATCGCCTGGCTGTATTGCGACAACCTGCATATTCCTGGCGCTGAATTCTCGGGGCATTGTGCGCTACCACTTGGTTTTGGGGGGTATCGTGAGGTACCGAGACTTGACTTTGTCCTTGGCCACGACCTTGACCTTGACACCCCCCGCCAGAGGACCCTAGAAGACGAGACATCGTGGCCCAACCACTCACAATCTCATCTTACCAGCACCGATATCGAAATGTCTGTTCATCGCACAAATCCTATTATCCCGCCGCCTGGCGCAACTGTCGCCGCGGCGCACGCCGTGGTGCGCTAATTCTCCTTCCTCATCAATCTCCCACCCTTGCCATGGCTATGCCTGCTGGCGGCACAGGTAATCATCCTCTAGGAGTTGCTTCCTTCGTGCCGTCTCTTGTTGGTCAGATTGGAAGCTCCGGCCTCGCCCACCGACCGAGTGCGCGGCGTGTCGTTCCACCCAATATTGACCGCGTCCCGGCAGTGATATCGAGACAGCCCTCTCAACGTTGACTGTCTTGCAGTTTGTGCGTCTCCGTTTGTGCGCCTGTAACCCCTCGGTGGAGTTAGAAACCTGACCCTTAATGCGTTTAAAGGTATCTGTACTTCTATGCGCATCTTGTGGCATCCCAATCAGGACCATTAAAACCCGTCCGTCACATCTCCCACTCAAAGCTATCGACACAAGTCGACCCATTTGTGATGCGGCGGCGAGGGGCAAAGGTGGGGTCGGTGTTGCTCCGGGCTAGACGTAGACACTCCGGAATCCAGACGTTAGATCTGGAAGTGTGGTCAGTGCGATGGCTTCGTTTGTCGGTATCCTGTGAGAGAAGCCGAGTTTACAACACGTCTCGAGTCATTTGGGGGGTTCAAGGGAACCCCGTATTGCGCGCTCACTCCGACAGCGGGAGGGCCATCTTCCCCAAACCTTCGGGAATCACTAGCAGCAGATAGGCCTTCCGGCCAATATTCGAGCTTCTTTTCGTCAGCGAACCCCCAAACTTGGTCTCCACGAAGCGACGACCATGTCGAAGCTATCTTCGGAGGCAGCGCCAATCCGCATGGGTATGGGCCTGCTGCCCTGCCGTGGCCCGTCTCCTGCAAGCCTTGAGTGAAATATCTGGCTGATATGCAGCCCCAAACGTCCAAGAGACTGCAGTATGCACAAAGCTGGAGTCGCCCAGCGCCCCAGGGAAAACCGCTGATTTGATGCTGCTGACCATATGGTCACCGAAGTAGATCAGGTCACCTTTTTGTTGCTCAAGTTCCTCGACAGGATCGAGATGCCGACCTGTCGTTGGTGATGTCGAGTCTCCAGTCAGTCATATCAACCACACATGCCCCTCCGATACGGCGGTATCAAGATGGGCTCCCACTCCCCCGCAAATCAGCACGCGACAAGGTAAGACCCGTACATCGTACGCGGCGGTATCTGTACCGCAGCACTCGCGGATAGACAATTACCCCCAACATTGTCATCCCAACATGCGCCTTGTGTCCGTCAACATTATCGGGCATCGTGTATCCTGGGATGCCGCTTGCCGTTGCCGCTCCCAGACGAAGTTCAAGTAAAACTTTGATGATTCCATTATGGAACTCGTTCTCCAGATGTGACCTGCAGGAGACCTCCATCCCGGGTGTCTCCAAACCATCAAGTGTGGGACGCTAGTGGATGGATGGCGCATTTTGCACTGCTGTCTTATCGTCGGGCGCTGATTGGTCGGAGCCCAAGTGCAGAATAATTGAATTCTCTCAAGAGCTGTTTCGGTTCCGTCTTCTCCTTAAAGGCAGACATTAATCGCTCATGAGGTCCTGATTGCTCGTTACGCTGTCGACTGCTAAGCACATTTACCTCTCTTGTCATTCGCAACTCCAGGTGACCTGCCACGATGCGCAGCTTCACGGGGTGTCGTTGGCCTCGGTGAAGTGTGTGACTGACCTGAGCTTACTTGGTGGAGAGCCGCGGTTGTGACATGGGGTCACTGCGAACCAGAAGTGCAGGCAAAGGTACCACCCATTTCGCCGCAGAAAAAAGGGTTGTCCACGGGCTAGTGCCGCAATGTTGGATTCTGGAAAATGTGGATGGAGCAGCCGTGTTGGGTTGGGCGCCGGCCCGGCGGGGAGGGGGTGAGAGTGGAATCGTGGATGGATGGATGGGATGTTGGCCGTCAGTTTGATTGACCAGCAGTGCAGAATCTGCCACTTTTCCCAGGGTCGCCGAGACCGGGCATGGAGCGGCAACGGCACCTCAGCGGCAACGCATTTGCGGACGGCTGGACGGCTGCCCCGACCGGACAAGACCGCGGTGTCCGTATCCCACATCGGCAATCGCCTCGACCGCCCCATACCGACCGATCCTTTCCTGCGGCCTCCTTGAACGCCAGTTCTGGGCTTGCTAGATGCGCTTCGCTTTCAACAACGACTGCTTTGTGTTGCGGCATTCTTTTTGCTTTCTTATCTCGAACGCATGCGAAAATTCGTCATTTCCCATCGTCCGAACTCTCCTGAACAACGAGGATTCGCCGGTCTCATCGCTGAGTGGTCGGCGTTGACACACAGTTATTGTCTGATTGGTCGGCGCCCACCCGCCACGATCGGGACTTGGCTGAACACTGCCGGGGCACCTGGGCGAGGGCATGCCAGGGACCCGATCGAGTCTCTCACGAGATCACAATGACGTCTTTGGGATGGTCGATTGGGTCCTCGACGATCCAGAAGAGCGGCGATAACATCATGGCGACGGGTGTGACCTCGTGCAGGACCCAGAACGGCTGATGGAGGCAATTCGGAGGGCCTCGGCCGGGGCATCGAGACCGCTTCCGTGACGTCGGCCACGGTGTACGGTACGGCAAGCGTCGGACAAGATTCGATTGAACGTGGAGACAAAGTTGTCACAAATTCGGGGTCTCGTGTCGCTGGAACTAGCTGGGAGTCTTCTTTCAGGGGAATGCATCTCGGCGCGGCAAGCGCCACATGGAGAGACCGAAGGCACTGCGTACAAGACAAGCCCGACCCGACGGCATGCGCAAGCGTTGTTGGCTCAGGCGGCTTGGAGCTCAGAGGTCAGACTCATTGTCCAGGCTCGGGTCCGGCTGCGAGCCCACAGCAGGGCGCAGTCGACATCGTCAACAGAGGTGGGTTGAGTCAGACTCGTGTTCGGCCGGCGGCGGCTCTTGTTTATTTTCGGACCATTGTCCCGGGAAGAGCGGTGGGCGGGCACTGCGATAAGGCAAAGTAAGGCTCGTCAGGAGGGTGTTCTGGATCTCCTAGGCACTGACCGGACTGGGGCTGCGTCTGACTTGTGATTCCGAGAGGGTGTTGCACTTGGAGAAAACAGTGGACTGTCGCCAGTGCGCAGGTCTTTGTATGCACACTGTGGGGGAAATAGGGGTTGGCTGGGTGAAGCTGAGGCGGCAAGTGCAGCCTCCCGTACGCTTCGACGTCGCTGCTTCCTGCAGGAACTGCAGCGAACAGGTCACATGATGTTTTGGTATTCAAGGAAGCTGCAATGGAACATCCTCAGATTGGAAAACACGCTCAGGCTCCTGTCTTCTGCCTCCTGCTTGCCTCGCGCTTTCTGTGTGCATGGACTGGACCTTCAGCTTGGATCGGAGTGAGACCGCCTGGAAAAACTGGGCTTGCCATCTTGTGACTGCCGCTTTGCTACATTGTTACGATCCCGCCTGCAATGGCGCTGCAACTGGCCACTCACCAACAGATCATCTCCGGGCCACCAGCAATGAATTGGACGGAGGGGGCTTTGGCTCGCCATTCGAGAGGCCCAAGATGGAAGCCAGACGTCGCTCGCCAGCAGGAATACTTCGCAAAGGCCCGGGCTGGCAGACGCGAGACCTCAAAGCCCGATATCAGCTCTATCTCGTTCTTCCAACGCCACCCTCCCAATTCTCCAGCCCAACCCCAGAAAAGCTCCCAAGCGCATCACGCGCCCTCGACGCCGCACGTTCAAAGTCAGCTGGGCCATCAGAGCAGTCAAAGACGACCTGGTTACCGGAGGGACTCGCAGCAACTGCAGCGTGGAGATGTCCATGTCGGTGGCTTTGTCAGCGCCCGGTCTCATGCAACCGTGAACCAGAATGCCAAGAGACAGCGCATAGCAGATCCTGACGGCGCCTTCGAGAACAAGAGGCGCAGGCTACTGAAAGTTTCAGACTGGGCAGGTCTCAACATGCAAAAAACACTTCCCATAGAATTCCCAGTTCACGAAAATCGGGCGCGCCAGGTGTGGAACTTTCACAAGAAACAAGACACGAGAGATTACGGCCCTTTCGTGGACAGAAATGGACATCCCGCACAGGCATCGAGATTACGCCTGCTTTCACAACAGGGCAGCACACACCGTGGAACTCCCAGCATACACATCAGAATCGGGAGCGACGTTCAGAATGGAGGATCAAGCCAATACACTATCAGCAGTCCTTGCAAGAGACTCTCCGGGAACAGGCCTACGTCGAAGAGTAAACGTTGGCCAGGCTATGAATCGTCAGCAGGGTCTTAGGAAGCCTTGCGACGTCAGGCTGATCAGCCTGCAATGCAGAGACATTCTTCTTCGGCTCGTGACCGCCAGTCAGCCGTGCACGGGCTACGAAGGAATCGTGACTACCAGGACCATGACCATTTCGCTGTTGATGGGCTTCCGCAGCCATCTACTTCAAGGCACTTTCGACGGGAGGGCAGTAGCCTACGAGTCGAGGCTTCGCCGTCCGTCGTGCATCAGCCAGTACCACGCAGAGTTAGTCAACTGTTACTGAAGGACAGATCTGGTGTTCATTTTTCCGAGATCGAAAGCACTGCCGGGGAGATTGGGCAACGTCCTGCACCAGCCGTTGCTCCCTCAGAGATGAGAGATGATCAGCGTTGGCAGAACATGCTCAAAGCGATGGAGGGGCATTCCGAGAATGTTGAAGAACAGCACCTTGACAAGTCTGGCGCCTATCCGCAAATCAGTCCTGGCATCAGCGAGTTACTACGCACGAGCACATCGCCAGTCTCAAGCATGAAAATGGGGGAGGGGCATGAGGCGATATATGACGGCGACTCAATGAGCAACGATTCCGAAAGCACAAAGCCAGAAATGAGAGACAAAGTTATCTACGGACCCAGATTCGATTATCCACCTATGAGTACTTCTTCTGACACCCGACAGCCCGATTCCCGCCAAGAATCGAGCGAGGCAGATGACCAGGCGCTTGCAGCTATCGGAAATATATCGCAAAGCTACCATACGTCGGATTTTTCCGGCTCTTCAATGCGGTCATCACCTCCCCAGCAGCTTGCAACGGATGCGAACTCGCCTCTCCGTGCTTTCCCGGAAGAAAATGACCTCGATGACCAGCCTACGGATGAAGAGCCACGCATTATCATCCGCGATCATTCATCTGACGAAGACTTAGGCAACTTTGCACCCCATGTTCGAAGCTTGGGAAGGGATCACGAGATCCGGGACGGCCGATTGACCAGCGAGACGAAGTTGGACCTCGACAGCACTGCACAGCCTGACGAACTTCAGAAGCCTATGTTTGCGTTTCAGATCATCCAGCCGGAAGGGAATGAACCTCCGCTAGTGGTTGACAAGGCGCAAAGGGAAGCAGAAGAGGAGACTGCATGGATGAACTTCATATTTGACGGTGACATCGACGATGCTGAAAAGGCTGCATTTCAAGAGGCGGCGCAAGAGGCGGCGCGAGTCATACGGCCTTCCAGCAGTGTTTCCGAGACCCCGATTGATAATTCAACCACTTCGTGCTCAAATCACTATGCGGAGACAGTGGCGACCTGTGGCACGTCGATCTTCCGGGGAGCAAACGGCAATGTTTTCTCCTCGAGGTTCTCTCCCGATCCACACTTCGGCCATCCTGCCAAAAGGACCCCGTTTCCTCCAAAGTTCTCCTCAGATCCTGACCTGAAACTTTCGAGTGCTGTTGCGGAAAGGAAGCATCAGACATATCACGATCACTCAGAGACTTACCGACACAGTATTCCAGATGACGAGACATCAATGAGAGGAGCTTCATCACAGCCCGGTTACTCTTCACGCACCACCATTGACAACATGACTGATGGCGCTGCTTCGCAACTAACCATAGACAATGCCTCAATTATCGCCCAAGCCCCTCAATCAGAGGCGAGCGAGGAAGCTGCTTTCACATTTACACAGCCCAAGAATTTCATTGGCAGTCGAGTTACCTCAGCAGTCCCAATGTTGATGACATTGCGCAGCACCAAGTCAGGTGCACCAAAGAAACCCAGCAAAGGACGCAAGAAAGGGGGCCATCAGCCGCAGGCAAAGAGATCTCAACTCCACAAAGATGGCAGCGCTTTCATTCGGGCTCTTCCCAACTACAACGATGATCCAATTGATGGTTCAGATGATTAATGAGGGGGAAGTCATGGTATCTTGGAAGGGCATCAGATTCAATTTTGGGACGCACGGCGTATTATGGCACTATAAAAGGCAGAAACGAACTTGCGGGGCATTCATTGACATTCGTGGGATATCAGCGGCTTTTGGAACCAAAGCTCTATCTATTCTAGGCGAATCATACATGTGCAATGCAAGAAGAACCTTTGCAATGGTATGAATAACCCCCTGAAGTATGTGCTTTTCTTCCAAGTCCATGCAAGCTCAGTAATGTGCTCAGCTGCATCGTCCTTCACCGCCACCTCCAGCCAACCAATTCCATCATCTCCTGTCTTCCATCATCTCCATCATCTCTCGTCTTCTTCTTCTTCTTCTTCTTCTTCTTCTTCTTCTTCTTCTTCTTCTTCTTCTCCGTCTCCGCCGTCTTCTTCCCATCTCGTCCGGGTGGTATTCAGGATAGAATACGGCCCTGCTAAGTTCCTCGACTACTCCACAAACATCGCACGAAACCCCTTTTGGTATGTTCTCTTGCGCATGGTGAATGACACGCAAGGCGCTACCGACGACGTCAACATCCGAGAGGGGTGGCTTGGACAACATTTAAGTCACGTTATTCGTCGAGAGCCAGTGCATGTGGAAGAGCCAAGAAAGCTGATGTTTGAACAAGTCTATGTAACTGAGCACCGAAAAGTACATACATCGAAATTCTGCAGAAGAAAAACAGACCATCCCAGCAACAAAAAAAACCAGATCCCTTGAACAAAACCCCTTGTGATGACAGCAGACTTCAGCGCCAGGCCGATGTCGAAAGCGACAACGCGGAACACAACCCCTGTTTTTCGTCGGTGGCCTTGCAACGGGGGCATGGTGGCCCCCCGCAGATCCAGCTCGACTTTCGTTTTTTGGTCTCATGAAATCATGCGGTCTATCTTTTTCAGTGTGTGTGTGTGGAAGTGACTGGGAACAAACAGCACCCTCGGTCAGTCAGCAGCAGCACATGGCTTAGAAGAAGCCGAAGGCGCGGCCGTGGCGGCGCTGGTGGTGGGCCACGGCGGCCTCGCGCTTCTCCTCGGAGGAGCGCTTCTTGGCGGCGGGGGCCTGGGTGGGGACGACGGAGACGGTCGCGGTGAGGACGGAGGTGACGGCGGTGGGGCAGCTGGACGCGGTCACTGTCACCGTGACCGCGGACGGGCAGCTGCCCTCGTCGCCGACGCTGCCGCCGTTGCCGGAGCCAGAGCCGCCAGAGCCGGAACCAGAGCCGCCGGAGCCAGAGCCGGATCCAGAGCCACCGGATCCAGAGCCACCAGAGCCGGAACCACCAGAGCCGACGCCAGCGCTGGGGAGAGCGGATGCGATGGTGGTCGCAATGGCGCCGGTCTGGGAGGGGCTGATGGTAACAACTCCGGTCTTGTCTCCGAGGGTCACGGTAATGACAGAGACTTGACCAGCGGGAGGAGCAGTAGGAGCGGGGGCGGTCACGTACACCGTGGTGACCTTGGGAGGAAGGCCGCTCTCTGCGGGAAGAGTAGAGACAACGGCGGAGGTGACCGGGGCAGTGCCGGAGGGGCCTGCGGTCGGCTGGAGGGTGATGGTGACCAGAGACACGACGGGAGAGCCCGAGGGGGGAGCGAGGGTCATGGAGATAACAGAGGTGACTGGCTCGGAGGCGGCCGGGGCAGAGGGAGCAGCCGCGGGAACAGTGGCGGTGACGTAGACAGTGGAAACCACGGGCTCTCCTCCAGGGGTAATGGCGGGAAGGGTAGAGACGACGGCGGAGGTAACGACGGATCCCTGGTCAGAGACGCCGGGCTCGTTGGTGGGAGCGGGAGGCTGGCCAGTAACGAAGATCGTGGTGACCTTGGGGGGCTGTCCGCTCTCAGCAGGGAGAGTAGAGACAACGGCGGAGGTGGCAGCGGAGCCGACAGCCTCAGAAGCGGCGCCACCCTCGATAGTCTTGGTGATGTACACAGTCGACACAATCTGTCCGCCCGTGGCATCGGGAACCGTGGTAACAACAGCAGAGGTGGTAACGACAGCAGAGCTAGCCACAGCATCGGCGGAGCTAACGGCGGTACCCTCAGGGGCAGAAGGAGGACCACCGGCAGAGCGAGTGACGAAGATTGTGCTCACAACGGGCTCGCCTCCAGGAGTGACGGCGGGAAGGGTGCTGACCACGGCAGAGGTAACGACGGAGCCCTGGTCGGAGACGGGAGGCTGGGGCTCGTTGGAAGGAGCGGGTCCGCCAGCAGAGCGAGTGACATAGATGGTGGAAACGATCTGGCCTCCAGTGGCGTCAGGAACAGTGGTGACGACGGCAGAGGTCGTGAGGGAACCGACAGCCTCAGAGGCAGAGCCAACAGCCTCGGAAGCAGCAGGGACCTCAGCAGAGCGAGTGACGAAAATCGTAGAGACAACCTGACCGCCGGTGGCGTCGGGGACGGTGGTAACGACAGCAGAGGTGGTGAGAGCAACGGAGCTGGCGACGGCGTCGGCGGAGCTGACAGCGGTACCCTCAGGGCCAGAGGGGGGAACACCACCAGCAGAGCGAGTGACGAAAATGGTGGAGACGACTTGGCCTCCGGTGGCATCAGGAACGGTCGTCTCGATGGCAGTGGTCTCAACGGCGGCAGTGGTCTCGGGGACGACGGCAGTCTGAGAGGGAGCGGCAGTCAGGGAGACGAAGGTGACACCACCGGTACCGACAGTGGCGCCAGCATCAGGAGGCAGAGTGGTGGTCGCGATAACAGAGCCACCATCAACGGGAGGAACAGTGCCGGAAGGAGGAACGACAACGGTCTGGGTCAGGGTGACAGGGACGGAAACAGTGACAGTCGTCTGCTCGTTAGCGGCGTTGTTGCAAGCGACAAGCTGAGTCTGGCACTGGGTAACGGCGAAGTTCTGTCCGGCGACGCTCTGGCACTGGGTGAACTGCATGTTGCAAGCGGCCTTGCAAGCAGACTGGAACTGGCCGAACTGCTGGCCTCCGACCTGGAAACCGCCCTGCTCGCCTTGCTGAACAGCAGGAGGAGCGCCACCGAGACCAGAGATGAAGTTGAAGAAGGTTTGCTGAGAGATGATGATGATCTTGGGCTGCTCAATGATGGTCACAGGGCTGGCCGTGACGGTGCGTTCGGTTGTGATAACATCGGTGACAGTGACATTGTTGTCGTTCGTGGAGGTGACGGTGGCGACCTCAGTGAGGGTCGTGACGGCAGGGACCGCCGGGGCCGAAGTGTTGAGGAAGATGCCGGTGGGCGCAGCGGAGGCGACCGCATCACCAGTGCCGGTCGAGATGCGCGGCGGGATGCTGATGCTGCTGAGGATCGGCGACGGCTCAGCTTGACGCTTCTGCTTGGCGAGGCCAAGCTCTGCCAACAGGCAGACGAGGACGGCGGATTTGAGCAACATGGCGAATGATCGTGAGAAGTCGAAGAGGAGCGGTTTGCTAAGTGGTTGAAAGTTGGATCGGTTTGTTGGGAAGGAATGGACTGAAGCAAGGGCCCTTCAAGGGTGTGACGGGCGACTAGCACCTGGAAGAGAATGACAAAGTTCAAAAAAATGAACGGGAAAAGAAAGAACTGGCAAGAATGTACCAAATGATGGAGAGCTGAGGCTGCTGAGGCAAGAAAGAACCCTCCTCGAGAAACGGGAAGGACGACCATCTTTAAAAGCATATGGCTCCCAGTCCAGCCGGAGGAGGCTCTCCCATGCCAAGGGCCGTCGACCCTTCGATGGATCGGGCATGCCTCCTGACCCAAGCCTGCTGGCCTGCTAGCTAGCTGTAGGACGGGTCAACCATCGCTTTGGGTTAGCCATCGTGAGACGTTCGGGCAGAGAGCGGGCAGGCGGCGGGGCTGGGGTAGGGGGATGAGCTTATCGTCGTCTGGTGTTTACGATTCCAAGAGAGGGGTGGTGGAGGGGAGTGGAGGCGCGAGACTGGGGGCGCGAACGGAGTTTTTGCCCTGGCAGGATCGATTGAGGGATTGGTAGAGCAGGCTGGCGGTTTGGCGTACATGAGTGTTTCCCGAACAGTCGATGTGAAGGCTGAAGGCGGTGGTGGCTGGAATGACGGGGGTCGACGGAGGAGATCCAAGGATGAGCGGGGATGTGCCTCAATGTCTGTGGGTTCCTCGGCGGAGAGGGTGCGTAAACGGCATAGTCAGACCGAATGGCAGGGCCTATATCAGACTTAGCAGAATGCGCGTCTCCTCTGCAGCTGTGGTGGTGTTGGAGCGGAGCTCAATAAGTGAGTTTATGGGACGGTGATGAGATGCCGTGCAGAATGCAACGGTGGCTGTAGATCCAAATGTTGAATTGAAGCCACAACGACGACAACTTCAATCGTGTTGACTGTATGCACGGTTGGCATTTGCAACTTTGCAAATGATCGTCCCGTAGCGTTCCCGCAAAGATCGACGACCGTCTACCGCTCTCTCTCATGCCGTCCCTTTCTCCTCCCTTTTTTTCTCCGAGCCGTGTCTGTAAAAACCCCACCCCAAAGAGACTATTTCGACAGTCCAAACAAGGCAGGCAGAAACCTCGTTTGGTCGGGAGAAACGGTGGCGATATGTGGGCTTGCTGAAAAAGCAAACATGGGATCAGGGAAGGAGAGCCCGAGCAAAGACTTCTTTGGCCAGGGGAAGCGGTTCAACGTCTGATGTTGTGGTCCAATAGCATCAAGCTTGAAAGAAAGCTCTGCGGGCATGCGCATAGCAGTCCAAGGAGGCGGCCTGGCAGCAGGAGATGTCGAATGGAGGCTCAGGGGCAGCGGGGTGGAGGAGGTGAGGTTCACTTTGAGTGCCCAGAAGAAGGGGGTTCGATGGTTCAGGAACCAACTGACGTCGGGATGGTGCCGGTCGGGGATGCGCATGATTTTCGAGATCAGTGAGGATCACTCGGAGAATTACAGCCAATCGGGAGACACTTTGCAGGGCGCTAGAGAGGTCCGCTCTGCAGTCTTGATTATCTAATGCCCGCCAGAGACCCACTTGGCGAGTTTGAAGATGGCAGCGGCC